GCCTGACAGGCTAGAGCTCCTGTCAGTCACAGGTGTAGTGATAAAAACATTGCCAATCCAGTTCTACCCTAAACGCCAGCCGTACAGCCTCTGGAACATCACAGAGTTCATCCCACCAAACGAGCCCTTCTTCCTGCGGGTGACCGGATACGACCGTGATGGTTTCCTGTTCCAGAGACTCTCCAGCGTTTCTTTCTCCAGTATTATACCTGGTCAGTGATTCAAGTTTTGAGCCATATTTAAATGAAGATGTGAGGAATTGTGGCAAAGAAAGTTCATCAGTGAGTTAACCTGTTTGACTGCCTGAGTGATTAACTTTGTTTACTGTATCTGCACTATTGCACTATTTCCTTTTATTTTAGGTGCTCCTAAGGTGCTGATGCCAACCACAACTCATGGTTACTATCTGCAGAGAGGGACTGTTGGCTGTCATGTAGACAGCCTGATCCCCTTCACTCTACGCTTCGTCAGGGATGGGAGGCAACTCGGGGTGGACCAGCTCTTCAGGTGAGGAGCACTGAAGAGGACCGCGTGTTTCAGTTCACTAACTCCCAAAAGCATACACCCACAACACTACAGCTGTCAGTAGGTGCCAGTTCCATATGATGTACAGAATTTTGTGAGCAATAGTCCCACATTTCATGCAAATCATTTTATACCCTTCTATACATCTCTTTAATAGGTAGACAAACAGAATCAGATCATGTTCTCCTGATTGGATTTTAACCAGATCAAGGGATGAGTTACTAGCAGATTGAATAGCTTCAGCATTATTCTAAACATTTGTGAAGACAAAGGCAACATCTTCCTTCTCCAACTCTCCTCTGGCTCTTTTGATCCTAGTGAGTCTGATCATGCATTCTGGGAAATAGCTCAGGTTACTCTGAAGGACGAGGGCTACTATGAGTGTATTGCCATCAGCAGCGCTGGGACAGGAAGAGCCCGCACCTTTCTGGATGTATCAGGTATGCACACATCCCAAGATGGTCATAGTACGATGAACGTTAATGTAACCAACTTATTTAGATATTTATTTACTTTTACTTACTTATACTGCACAAATTACATTAAAATCATAATTAGAAGCAGACACAAAATGCAGAGTTGCTCAAAACCTGGAAAAAAACTTGCAAGCTACAGTTGGACAGCACAGCAGTGTGGTGGTTAGCAGTGTCACCTCATAGTAAGAAGGTTCTGGGGTCAAGCCCTGGCCAACCTGGGGCCTTTCTGTGCAGAGTTTGTTTGTTCTCCCTGTGCCTACTCTGGCTTTCTCCCACAATTCAAAAACATGCAACTTAGGTTCTGACAACATGTCAGAATGACTTGCTACTTAGACAATAGTGTTGATTTTTGTTTAGTTTATGTTAATTAACATGGCTACTTTCCATCACTGTGTGTAATTAGCCAGGACTGTGGACAGGAATGCTTAGAGTTAGACTGTCAGCAAGATTAATTGGTGTGTAATGGATCTATGTGTGGGGCAGTGAGCAATTTAAAGTATCATTGTCTCTAATGTCCTGTGTCATGTTTACACTTAAAGAACATAGCACACAGTCTATAAAGACACAAAATACACACATATAGTACACACTACTTAAGGATATACGTTTACAAGTGCAAGACATGAAGTCAGTGTAGGTTGAATTTTATAGGGTGCAAGGTCTCTTACTGTGGATCCCATGCTGAGAACCTTCAAAGTTAATGTAACTTTATGGAACATTTGACCCTAGTTTACAATGTGGTGTTGTAATCCATGCCTGCAGGGATCATGTCATGGGGTTTATAGTCTGTGCCTGACTTGTAAAGCAGTGGCCTGTCGATATGGTATAGATGAGACTACTTATGAAAATGTTAATTATGTTCCAGGCTGTGCACCAAGGTATAAAGGTTCTAGTGAGAGTTTAGGTGGGTATATTTTATCACTGTGCACAGTTTCAATATAACAACAAAGCTCAACCACAACCACAATAATAAACAAATAACAGTTTACATTCTTACAGAGAAATTCATAATCTAGGTAATTAATTCCCTGAGTGAAAATTTTGTGATCATTATGATGCCAAAGCTGTGACCACAGACAAAACCAGAGGGATCACATGATCATTTATATCTGTAGTCTTACATTTTGCCTATTCCTAAATCCACACTCTAGTGCATTTGTTTTTCAGTCAGAACCCTTTCCATTCTGATGCTTCACTTGACTCTCAGACAGTAAAGTTGCCTTGTCCAAACTTTGCTTTCCAAAAATCTTCCATCAACATGAGGAATGCCAAGAAGAAGTGAAGAAGCGTGCGGAGGAAAGGAGAGTGAGAGGTAGTTGAAAGACAGTTTATGAAACAGAAGAAGTAATGTATGAGTGCAGCTCATTACTTTAACTCACCCAGTGCACTGGTGCAGAGGAGATTTAGTTTGTCCAACTGTTACCTCTTATGATGTCAGCCATAATTCCAAACTTTGCAAGTGGGCCAGTTATATTCTTGACAGGCCATGGCATTGTACACTCATACTCACAGAAAGGCACACATAAAACCCATTAATCCGCCAAATTTATGTCATTCTAATCCCAAAGAGCTACACTGAGCTCTGCTGAAATCCCCAGTATCCTCCCTCTATCAGAGCCAAAGCCTCGGTTACTTCTCCTCTTCCTTCTCTTCTCTTTCATTCTCTCCATTTCCATTTTTCCTGCTTAGCTCTGGCTTACCTCTAAAATGACCAAGACACAGGATATGAGTATTTCTGACAAGGTAATGAGGAAAGACAGAAAGAGGAAAGGGAGATAAAATAAGAGAGGAAAAGGAGCTCTTCACAGCTCTGATGAATAAGTGTTATTATTGAAAATAGGTAAGTTTCTCTTGCCCACAGTTAAGCTAATCTACATGACATACCGCTAAGCAAAGCACACATGCAAACACACACTATACAGTAGGTGACAGCGATGCATTCATTATATGAGGGGTACACTGATATCAATTGCTGAATTTGATAATGAGATAATCATGAGTTCTTCGACTACTCTACTGATGGAGGTTCCTATCTGACCAAACCACACTGTTGCATGCGCTGTGCAATGAAATTTGTAAATTATTCCTCATTTAACTTTCTCGTGCAACTTTTATTTCCCTAGAATTTAATTATTTCCCTTGTATTTCCTCATTTCAAGTGTCACACTTCAACAAAACAGTGATGTTCCCCTCTTAGCTGTAAGAGGCATGAAGACATCAAAACACCCACAACTTCATAATCTAGTAGAAAATAAGAGAGAAAACTTAATTAGTAATGCAGAACTGTGTGTGTTTGTTTGTTTGTTTTTTGATTCTTCTAAATCATCTCACAGCTCCTCAGATTTACTTGGGAAGCCTCCTGAGTCCTAAATGCTGGAAAAAAACAGTAAAAACTTATTCCCCAGTACCAATGAGTGACTGATTAAGGTTTGAAAACTAATAAAGACCTAAATATAAAAAATCAGTATGGTCTCTAAAAGTGAACCCCATGAGTAGAAAATATTGTTTCCTCTTATGTAAGTGTCAGCAAGAATGTAACTCTTTATGATGTAAAGTGTTTGCTAACAACATAATTCCCCCATCCTGCAGAGCCACCTCCAGCCATCACCATCGAGGGTAACATAACTGTCTCCCGTGGCTCCCATGCTGTCCTCACCTGCCACGTTATTAGCACTGTCAACTTCAACCTCACTTGGCTGAGAGGAGGTAACGATGCCCGTCTGGACCCACGGGCGCGTGTCCTGACCAACCTCTCGTTACAGGTGTCCACTGTGACTCCTGATCACTCGGGCTGGTATGAGTGTGTTGCTATGAATGAAGGGGGCTCGACAGCAGAAAGAGTCTACCTTACTGTGCAAGGTGAGGACTGTGTGTGTTTACACCTGAATGTGTTCAGTATGGTTCTGTGGTGTGTGCTGTTTTTTTCTTGACCTAAATTTGTGAGTAGTTCATTGTGAATGTTTTGTGTTCTGTAACTGTATGTCTTTTCTCATATTACAGACTATTATCACTTTATTTATTATTCTATTTTTCTTTGGTTCATATACTTTTTTCTCTCAAACAGCTGTTAGCACATCCTGGAGGCTTCCTAATTACTGGCTGGTCAGTTCCTTCCTAGTCATTAGTTTCACTTTGAAGTGAGTGAAGTCTGTTGACATCTTACAGCATGGACAAAACACAGTGGAACCAAGTGCGAGTCCATGATACAAAACTACATTTTAAACTTAATCTTTTCCTCTTCATTTTGGCCTTCTGTTCAGAATAATTACAAATTTTAAATGGCGGTATCACAAAATACAAGTGCTGTCATCAGGCTGTGTTTATGTAGACAACATTAGACAACACTGTAATCATAAAATAAATGATCTCGCCCTAGAAGCACATTCCTTACCACATGTTGCGTGTGATGCACACAGCAAAAATAGGATGAGGAGGTGGAGATTTGGAGCGTCCTGCTGTTTTAGTGTTGTTTTCTGGAAGAAAATACTATTGTTTATACTCATTGTTGCCACATGTACAGTAAACTTGTTGAAAACAATGTGGATAAATGAATGAAGGGAAAGGAATTAGAGGAGTATGGAGGAAATATGAGATAAAAAGAGGATGTAATGTGAGGGGGAGTGAAGGCAGGTGATGAAGGGAGTGATTAAGACAGGCTTGTTCCTGACATATTAAAGCTGCTGCTGAGTCAGTGTAAAAGAATGTTTCTTCCCTCTCAGGAACCTTCTTGTTCCTAAATTCAGGGGTTTACCTGCCACCCCCCGAAGAGACAAAGACAAATATTCTAGCTGTAAAAGAAAGAATGGGCCCACAGCTGTTCTGACACCTTTGTCTGTGTGGCACCATTGCACAGACATGGCTGCTACTAAGATTAAGATCGGTATGGTGGCAAGTTGATGTACTTCAATATGTTTCATGTCAAAAGTTCTACCTGTAAATTTATTGGCCGCATCTGGTACATGTGCGGTGTCACTGATGACTGAAGTGGAAAAACCAAATATTCCTTCACCCCTTCTGCACATGTGCATGTCTGTCTTTTTGAACTTGTGACTGCTGCCCCTCATTCACCCCAGCACTTTCCCTCAGCTAATCCAAAGACACTCGCGTGCAGTAATTCATATGGATGGCACGCAAGGAATGACAAGTTAATCTTACTGTTTTCTTTCTCATAATTGGAAAAATAAATCCCTACAAACAAATCAAATCCAGTTGGAATGTTGTTGTTTTGGAAGTGTCTGTTGCACCAGTTAGTCAACTAGGTCTCACTGATCTTCCTACAAGTCAGAAAGGTCAGGGACTGACTGAGATAATTGTTACTGTAGAAACAGAAAACATGCCCTTTAAGGAATGAGTTACACGTCCTGAATCAGTTAGAAAATCACTCCAGATTCCACAGTTTCTTTGGGTCTAGATTCCATATTGCTCCCTGTTTTACCAGTAAAGAGGAAGTGAAGGCAAAAGATATGCTGTGAAACATTATTAACTGTAGCAAAACCTGATTGAAAAACAGATTTACTGTTGTTTTATCACTCCTCTTTTCCTGTAGAGACTCCCAGAGTTTCAGTAGAGCCTCAGGATCAAACCTTCATGACAGGAGATGAAGTGAGGATCAGGTGCTCAGCCAGTGGTTACCCTCCACCCCGCCTGGTCTGGACCCACAATGGCATGTTCATCATAGCATCCAGCAGGTAAATTTATCCCCTCAGACATAAACAGGTTTGATAACTATTCTTTATTATTTTATTATTGTTATTTTAATTCTTTTATTTATTTTTTCTTTATTCTTTATTCTACAATGTGGGAATTGGACAGTACAACAAAAGCAATGGTTTCCTAAACTGGTGTCAGTGGGTGCGATGATTTGATTTGTAGTAATTTAAACCTCGTACATGTTGAAAGGTGAAATTTGTTTGCGTTTTATGACAGTGCAGTAATAAACCAGATTCACTATCTTATTCCTTCTCCCTTCCATTGCTCATGTCACTCTCCAGTGTGCTGAAATGTTGTGAACTGTGTATCGTGTTCAGATACAGGATGACTCCTGACGGCACACTGGTTATAAGAAACACGGAGAAGAAGGATGGAGGGGTGTATGGCTGTTTGGCTAGCAACCAGGCTGGAACAGACGCAATGACCTCCATCCTCACTTACACTGGTGAGTGGCACAGGGCTAGAAGATTTCACTGTACATATGACATTCATGTCTGCAACAATAAGCTAGTCACAAAATGGGGTTAAAAGAAAGGTGTCTAATAGATGGTACTGTATAATGAACCTGTGATCATACAAAACAATAAATAATGTCATTCGCAGATGCAATACAGCTCTCTCACAAACACACTTACAAATGCATGCAAACTAGTATTACTGCATTCCTTTCTGTCTCCATGAATGGACTATGAGACAATAGGCCCTTGGGCACAGACGTGTAAAAGGTCCCCATCTCCCCTACACTTCTAGGTGCAAGACTCACAGATTGAGCAATCATGTGATTTGTAGTCAGTTTCTGTCTTTTGTAGTTTCATGTCAACTTTTACTCATTTTGTATCTCTTTGTAGTCATTTCACAACTATTTGTCTCTTTTATATCTTTTTGTGCTTGTTTTTTCTCTCTTTGGTCCTTTTGCATATTTTTGTAGTTATTTTGCTGTCTATGGGGTCGTTCTTTGTCTATTTTTAGTGGTTTTTATTCTTCCTGGGCACCTGGGCCTGTGCCTTGTAGGCCTGTTCAATAATCCATCCATGGCTGTTTCTGTTATGATATTCTGTCTATCCTGTGACAATTCCCCCTCTCTAGAATCTCCTGTGGTGATGGTGGCATTAAGTGAGATTCTCACTGGCATTGGAGAAACCACAGTGATGGCCTGTTCAGCATCTGGAATCCCACAGCCTGAAATCCAGTGGTACAAAGGTAACAATTTAGGCAATACATTTTATACTAATCAAATAAAGAATAACCATCATTATTTAAATTATTAAAAGCTCAATGTGGAACTAAAACAGTTTTATGTTTTCTTGCTATTTACACACACAGCCTAAATATACAGTAGCGCTTATATTTTAACAAGCTGACCACATGCCACTGTTGCATTTGTTCAAATCGCTAGGTGATGCCCAGCTACAAGCATCATCCCTCTTGGATATAGACCCACTGAGAGGAACACTAACCATCAGGGAGACCCAGAATGTCGATGCTGGAGATTACACCTGTGTTGCTGTCAGTTCTGCTGGCACGTCGTCAGGAAAGATATCTCTCAGTGTAGGATGTGAGTGTGTCACCAGCCTTGTAAAAAGCTCAACAAAGCCTTTACTTGTTTCTTTTGTTGTAAGAATCCTAACAGAGGATAAGCCTTAACTGGGAGTTCAGCTCTCTGTAGTAGCTTTCAGGCCTCTGGTTCAGATGTAATTCCTTCAGTTGTGAAGCCCAGATGTATAAATGATACATGTCCATGAATCAAGAGATAATCATTTGGTTCGGAGACTAAATCTTAAACCTGTTATGACTCACAGTTAATAATGATACAGAGTCTGCTTTGGTGCTGTTCATGAACAATGCTTTTGCCAGACCAAGGACAGAATACATCTGGTTTATATCCAACCAAGGTTACACAAGGATGTGTCAGTATCCATGTATGGTGCAAGCTGGACTTTTGCACATGCACACAATTTAAAAATGACGGACACATATAACAGAACAATGGATACCCAGAGATCTTTAAATCTGGTGTGAATAACATGTTTGCATATTTCTGCTGTTGTGCAAATGCAGGCTTTTAGTCTTGAATGTACATACAGTACATCTGGTCCCAGAGCATTTCCAAATGAACACGAGGCACACCTTGGTTGTCTGTAGAATGCAATACAGATGAATGTAAATTATTATCTTCAACTTTGACCACCCTAGCTGCTCCCAAGTTCATCCAAGAGCCATCAGATGTGGCAGCGGACATTGGCTCCAATGTGACCCTGCTGTGCCATGTCGAAGGCTACCCTGAACCACAGGTCACCTGGAGAAGAGAGGATGGATTACCTCTTTTCAACAGTCCTCGTGCACATAGCACTACTACACAGAGCAGGGGACATCTACATATCACCAGTGAGTTTATTAACTAAATGTGTACATATACATAAAACAAATAGATGGTCTTGGTTTCATTGTCTGGTCCTCATTGTCCCTCTTTCTATCAGAGCTGTGGGTGGAGGATGAGGCGGTGTATGTCTGTGAGGCCCGAAACCACTTTGGCAGGATCCAGACCCAGGCCAAGGTCACTGTGACAGGACTGGGTAAGAACAACAATCCATATGAAATGTTTTTTTTCTATTTGTCCAAGAACAAAAAGTTGCATTTCAATCTTAAAATGTAAGGTAACATTCCCAGTGTGATTATGCAGCAAAAAGACATTGTGATTTTTGTACTTACATTTGGGCTCTTAATGAGTTACGATTAGTTCATTAAAGTTATAATCATCAAGGGGAAACTGACATTGGTTTTCATGAAATAGGTTTAATGAAAGAAAACAAAAGTGTAGCTAAACTGAAAAAGTGTTCAGGCAGCCCTGTGCCCAATGAAATGCTCTTGTACTTGAAAGACAGCCCTGTGGACCACAACATAGATAACCACACATGCTTGCATTCCTTTCAGCAAAATGTGCATTTTTCTGAGCATATCTCATCATTAGCAAACCTCACGTCCCCTTTCCATATCCAGTGTATTTTCAAAAACAACATACAGTTCCTACACTAGAAGTGCTTATATTTGTCTTTATGTCTTTGTTTGTGCATGTGTTTCTGTTTTGTCTTTACAAGTAAATATGATTTCATTAGCACATTTCAGTCAGTGTGTTTAAACACATGTGACTTGTTAACTGCTGTTTCACTGTCTCTCTAGAGTGGAAACACACTGAGCTCTTTTATGTGGGTCAAAGGTTAGAAAGCTCAGATCCACCCAGAGGACACATACTACTGCCCCAGTGCCCCATTTCCCTGCTGTCAGTGTTGTTCCAGAAGAAACACAACCCGCCCAGCGCAAAATGACATATACTGTATTTTATTTTAGACAGTAATTAAAAAAGAAAGCAATGAAATCAGCATAGTGACATATACTGTATTTTATTTTAGACAATAATTAAAAAAGAGAGCAATGAAATCAGCGTATCAGTGGCATGTTTCCTGTATGCATTTGTGTGTATGTGTGTGTGTGTGTATGTGTGTGTGTGTGAGCTCATATTCTCAGGCCAGTTATTATAGTCATTGAATTCCCCTTGCTTGACACCCTGTTGTCTACCACAGCCCCCACAAATGACATCAGCAGTCATCACCCTGTCAACAGAGCCAAACCATTTAATCAAAAGTGATGTCACATGTCATTAAGTGTGTGTGTGTGTGTGTGTGTGTGTGTGTGTGTGTGTTTATGTGTTTGCTGTGTGTAAGCATTCATGTTTGATGTTAGATAGAGATGTGGTGATACTTGTAGCACCTGTGTAAAAATTACTGCTGTATTGTTAATGTGTTTAGAACAGCCAGTGATTCCATATTTATCATGCTTTACACACACTAACACTGAAACATGCACCACTTTGGACATAAGTTTATTATTTAGTCTTAAAATATATAAGAAAACAAGTACATCTACACTTCATTTCTGTTCACACACCAGTTTTGGAACATTTGTCATACTGTATGTTGCAGATGCCAAACAAAGCAACTAATAGGGTTCCTTTGAGCATGTGCTTTAAGAGACACAAAGGTACTTGATCTGTTTTTGTGGATGAAGAGGCTGCTACCCACCTATTGCAGAGTAGTTTCAGAAAATGCTCTCAGCCTTCTTGTACTTCTAAGAACAGACCACAGGGGATGGTTAAAGTGCGTGGTAAGATTGTAGGCACCCCTTTAAACAACCTATCTGACCTGCATGAGGCTCAGACTCTTAGGAAGGCCAGTTCGGTCCAGGCAGACGCCAGTCATCCCCTTTTCAGGGAGTTTGTGATGCATCCATCTGGTTGCATATTCAGCCTGCACAATTTAAAAATTCTGTGATTCCAGTGGTTATTTGGATCCTACATGGTTCATTATAACAGTCATTGTGTGCTGTTTGTTTGTTTGCTTCTGCTTGTGTATGTTGATGTGTACTCCTGGCTGTACAACAAATTGCACCTTGGGGATAATAAAGTTACTTTTGACTTTTGACATGAGCCTTGTATATTTGATTTCATGATATCTGCAGTCTCACCTGTCATTGCGATGAGTCCGACTGTGATCAGTGTGATCGAAGACCAGCAGCTGACTCTGCCCTGTGTGCTCTTGGCTGGAAATCCACTGCCTGAAAGACAGTGGCTACACAACTATGGTCTGGTGAGGACACTGAGAGGAAATCCACAGTTTGTAGATTTTGTCTTGCATTCCTTTATTTTGCTGAACTTACAATTGAACCTACAATTTCTCAGGTAACCTCAGACCAGTACGTGACAGTGAGGAGGGATGGCAGTCTGCATATTGAGAGAGTTCGGCTGGACGACACAGGCGACTACACCTGCTTGGCTGAGAATGTCGCTGGGGCCACCAACCATACCACCACTGTTGATATCTATGGTAGCACGCACAATGACATACAAATCAAAATCTGCTCAGGCATGCATTGGTACAAAAATGTGGATAAACACAGGACGAGCATGAGAGCACATCATGTGTTGGGACTATCCATCCATTAGTTATACCCCTTATCCTGTGGTGGCCTGCAGGGGGGCTGGAGCCAATCTGACCTAATACTGGGTGAGAGGACTTCCAAATTTAAAAGCCATAAACCTTTTTCACAGCAGACATTATACATGTTATAACAGGTGTAATTAATAAATCTAACATTTTTGCCATTCCACTAAGCAGAACCAGTTCCAGGAGAGGAGGGGTACCAAATTAAAAAGCCACAGACCTTTTTGAGCTATGTAGGTTCATTTAATCAAGCTAAGTCACTAAGGTTATTAATTGGATCTGTGCTTTTTTTTTATTATGATGACTTCAAAATTATTATATGAAATGCTCCCTTTATATCACTTTTACTCCATTGCTTAGTGTCCTCCTCAAATCGATCATTTCTGGTGTCAAAGGTTCTTAGACTCATGAATAGGATGGTTTTTGAGGTTGCATTAAAAGCAGCAGGAGCTGAGGATAATGGCAGATTGGAGCACAGCCAGAGGGAAAATGTGTTTTGCATTTATGCCAGTTGTTAGATTCTACCAACTTAAATAGGAAGCATCTGTAGCATGTACGTCAAAATATGCACCCTTGGTTCTTAAAATGAGACGTTCTTTTGAAATTCATGTACACAAAGCAAGGCGCATTTACACTATGTTGGTGAGTATACAGTTGAATTTTCCATAAACTCTGAGAAATACTTTCCATAGAGCCTAAAAGAGTGTAGAAAGAAGACCACCATGTAATACTGACTCATAATGAGTACAAAGTAGATGAATTAGTTATTTAATTAAATAACATTTTTCATTTCAAAGATGATGCTGCCAGCCTCCAGGCTGATGTTTTTTTCCTAACAAAGCAAAAATGAGACACACAGTGAGGAAAATAGGCATAACAGCAATAAAACTGGTGTAATATCTGTTCTGACTACAGCGTGTGATCACTCAGGCTTTCTCCAGATGTTTCAGTCACATAACAAAATGTGTTGCATTATATACAGACACAAGAAAACACAGTACATATAGAGAACAAAATGCTTCTACTAGATTTTCTATGTACCCGATGAATATACTGAACTCATTGTGTCCTTTTTTACTGTGTTTACAGTGATTCCTACCATTCAGCATGGCCCTCAAGTGTTCACCACAATTGAGGGAACACCTGTGTCTCTGCCCTGCCATGCCAGTGGAATACCACCCCCTGAGATCACCTGGGCCAAGGTCTGTAGTGATAATCTCTCCATGTATAAAGACCAGTGAGAACACCAATACTTTCCTTGTTACAATGTTGTGGTTTCCTGCCACTAAAGACCTTCATTTCATGTAATCACAAATAATAAAATACAGAGACGTTACATGACACAAAGAAATAAGTGAATTCATGTTGCATCACATTTTGGCCAAATGTCACTAGACACTATAAACACCACAACATGCAGTATTAGGAAAGCTTTATCATCCCATCATCATAATTCTTGACACATCTATGAGACATTTTATGATATCTTGACTCACAAACTCCCCCTCATGCACCTTTTTTCCTTTAACTTGTAAATTAATGCAGATCACTGGTTATGTATAGTATTCTTGTGCATGCAGAGTGAACTCCCAAGTGAACAGGTCCTTGTGTTGTTTTGCATTAAAGTCAGGGTCGATATAGTTTAGTGCAACACCTCCTCCTTTGGTGGGCTCTGGCAAAACAGTAGCACATGTGTTTGTGTTTGTTCAGCTCTACTATACCTGTGTTCATTGACTTGCACACTCAGCCTTTACATGTGCACTTCTGAGTGTGTTAGTATGTCCTATAAACCGGTGTGTGTCGGTGAACTGTACCTCCCTCTTTTCCATCTTTCCACTGGTTGAAAAAGTGGTGCTATTTAAGTGAACAGGGCTACAGGGACATATGAAACTAGACCCTGCTAAGTTTTGCAACAGCTGTTGCTGTAAAATGGGATTCCCTCTGAATTCTTTGCTGCTCTCTGTAACATTAATCAAGTCATGTGAACTTAGTCGTGTCCAGATAAGACACAGACCTGATGCACTCACATCACATTTGCTTCTGTTGTGGTTCATTTGATTGTATAACTATTAACATTTTATTCACCATCTTTTTATATAACAGCAGAAAAAATAACTGAGTGATACATTTAAGCAAACTTCTACACAGCCTGGTCTTAATTCTCTTTTGGACACCATGTCAAGGGCTAGCACAGCTGATAATAAATACTGGCCCCTGCCCTTTCTCTGCTCTGGTGTTTTGTAGGGTGGGGAGCTGCTGTACTTGGGTGGTCCTGCTTTCTCGCTGGATACTGACGGCAGCCTCCTCCTTACTTCCCCTTCTGGAAATGAGACTGGCGAGTTCATCTGCACAGCTACCAATGCTGCTGGCTACACCTCCAGGAAGGTCCAGCTAACTGTCTATGGTAAACCTCATGACCAGCTAAAGGCTCTATGAAGTCTGCAGACAGATAACGGATTTAATCTTCACTGTTTTGGCTCAGTTTAAGTTAATTGTAGTTTTCCCTGTCCATGTGCAGGGATGGTCCTCAATGGCTGATTCTTAAACCCAATCTTTAGGCCAAGCATTTAATTCTTTACACTTTAAAATGTACAGTATGCAGTTACTTACAGTCCTTCCCACTTTCAATAGCAACTGGCCAGGGTGGTGAAAAGGGGCAGAGATCCAAGTGCTCACTGTGTCATTTTCTCCACTTGCCTCACTGTTCTGTTTGTGCTACTGCTCATGTTCACTGCCCGACCTCTCTGACTGTCTGGCTTGAAGTGATAAAGACCTAGTGGTTTTAGAGAACAGTAGGGCAGATATGTGCCAGCTTTTGCTCAGCTATTTGAATTCAACTAACACAGCTGCCCCACACACTAGAATTTGTGACTATACTGTATATTTGCATGGGGTTCCCTGATAGAGACTAGTGGCCTGGGTTCAAGTCATGGTTGCGTCAGGAAGGGCATCCAGCATAAAACATGTGCCAAATGTGGCCATCCTTAACGGGGAAAAAGCTGTAAGTGGCATTCATATACTCTATGTTAGCTAGCTTTAAAAGCAATGTTGCATTTTCTGTGGACTATTAATTGATCAGTCTTGACAAAAATTATTTCTGGTTGACTATGACAACCAGCTTCTCGCTCCACCTTCAAAGGGAGCTCTCCTAAAACTGATGTGATTTGGTTCTCTTTGAGTATATAATGGCATCCATCAGTTTTCTTCTCACTAACAAATGTCCATCCATCCATCATCTATATCATTTATTCCTGAATAGGAATAGCATCTGGGTACACCCTGGACAGGTCACCAGGCTATCACAGGGCTGGCAGGTAGAAAAACAACCACACACACTCACAAGGGCAATTCAGAGTCACCAATCAACCTAAACTGCATTTCTTTGCAGCGCTAACCACTGCACTGCTCTGCCGCCATCTAACAAATATATGAATCAAATGTTTGTAGCAGAGGAACAACCAGTACTAAGAAGCAATGGAATTTTTGAAGGGAATTAGGCTGAGACACATTAGTACAATGTACTGTACTAATACTTTTTATTTTTGTCATAACTCTGTCTATATCTTTATATTTTACATCACTTGAAATTGTCTAAAAACTTGCTGCTTCTGTGTTTTGCTGTCCATGTACACATGTCCAGTCCGTCCTAGGTCAAATGCTAGTGGTATCGGCGTCTCAGGTGAGCCAGTGAGGATGTCAGTGATTGAGGGTGAGGAAGCCGTTTTGCCATGTGAGGTCCACAGTGTCCCACCTCCCACCATCAGCTGGGCCAAGGAGAGGCAGCTCATCTCCCCTTTCTCTACAAGGTAGAACACACATATAGAGTAACAAATAATGATGTCATCTCGTCATCTCAAGTATTTTACAGACACACTGTAAGCGGAGACCCAGCTTAGACAAAACTTACAAGTTACAAGTTTGGTAAAACCCTATTACCTTAGCAATAAACAAAATGTGACAGTTACAGTCATGTTTTCTAAGAGAACCTTAATGCTGTCTTGATTGCTGTGATCTGTCTCTGTCTACTGTTCATACCCTCAGGATATAGTTTGAGGTTTTTTTAAGACTAAGTAATCATACTCTTCTCTATGATCAGTTGTACCTACTGTGTGCCTGCCAAAGCAACTGTAATTGTGGTTGATTCGTAAGAATTACAGGAGCATCTGTTCCCAGTAATGACTGAATAAATTATTATGTGGAAAAATATAGAGATTGTGGGCATGATGTGTTTTTCTTGCAACATTTGTGAGAATGATTTTTCAGCCATACTGCAGTATATCATGTGTCGATTTGCGTGTGTTCCTCCCAGGCACACTCAGCTTTCCTCGGGGTCTATGACGATCTTAAAGACCAGAGTCTCAGACAGTGGACTATATGTGTGTGTTGCCTCCAACATTGCTGGCAACCTAACACAGTTCATTGAGCTGAGTGTTTTGGGTAAGTTCAAAAGATGGCGATATAGGAACAAGTCTAATGGTTTGCACAGTACTGTAGATCAAGCATGCACATTGAATACAGCAAATTTGTAATTTTCATTGATAAGCTTTCACACAACTGTCTGATATATTGGATGGCATTTGCAGACAGTCACAACTAATTATTTAATACTCATACATTACCCATATGAGAGGTGCAGCGCAGACACATGTCATTTTGGATTACATAACTGAAAGCAGCACACACTACAGAAGTTCCTGTGTGATAAATAAGATGCAAGTACAGATGAGGTGCTAAAATGTCTTGTCCTCTGTCATCTGTTCTGCAGTGCCCTCTAGTATACAGCCCGGCCCTATGGTAATGAAAGTACAGGTGGGTCACCCTGTCGGGCTTCCCTGTGTGGTGAGAGGGGTCCCGCTGCCAACAATAGCCTGGACTAAAGATAACAAATCCTATTCGGCGATGCCTGATGGCAGCCTGGCATTGAGAAATGTGGGACTGGAGGATGAAGGAACCTACACGTGCACAGCAACTAACATTGCAGGCAGAGATGAGGCTCACATTCAACTTCTAGTGCAAGGTTGGTTTCAGTTCTGTCTGATCCCGTCGAGGGGTACGGTAGAGTTGAACATGTTTGCTTTATGTAAGTCCATTCCAAGTCTAACTGGGAACAGATCTGAAATAGTACATAAAATAGTACTTTTGATTTATTTTTATAACAGAATTTAAAAAGTAAGAGGATCTGCAGTAGATTATTTTTTAACCATGCTCAGTTTAGTTTAGGTCTGTTTGAATAGAAACTGGAACAACACCAAGCAAGTAGGCAATGAAGTTATTACACATTCTGTGAAGTGTGTGTTTTGACATTGATCTTGTCAGCATGTGTGTGCACTTTCAGTGCCCCCTGTGGTTGAGGTACTGGAGCCCCCTTTCAATAGTCCCCTGCAGGAGAGAGTTGCAAACCAGCGCATTGCCTTCCCATGTCCTGCCAAAGGTTCTCTACTCTTTTCACCTACCTTCCAGTATTACATACTGTGCATCTTTTCTGACAGCAACATTAAGTAGGACACTCTAATTAAATAATGCTAAATGTTGTGCTAAACGTACACACTAAACTCTCATAAATAATGATGATGGAGTCAAATACCCTACTGATTTTGTTACTGGTTTAGGTTTTATTTTGCCATTTCTATATCTTCATCTCTCCCTCAGGTTTTCCCAAGCCACTGATTCGGTGGTTGCGTAATGGCCAGGAGCTGACAGGTAATGAGCCTGGTGTGTCCATCCTGGAGGATGGTACACTGCTGATTCTGGCCTCTGTGTCCCCTATGGACAATGGAGAGTACATCTGTGCTGCTGCCAACGATGCTGGATCCACTGAGAGGAAATACCAGCTCAAAGTCAATGGTGATTGGCCTGTTCATTGAGTCATTTGCTGGCATATCTATACACTTCTAATAAAACGTTATATGTGACTGTCACTTTTGATACATGCACAGTTCCCCCAGATTTTCGTGACAGTGATGCGCCAGGCAACGTGTCAGTGGTCCTGAGTCACGCCACAAACTTGGTGTGTGATGTCACAGGAAGCCCGACTCCTGTGATTACCTGGTTCAAGGATGGGGCCCCTGTAGGTGAAATCCATTTGAATAAGCTGTTACCATAAAAGTTAAAGAAAAAGTTTTGACAATACAATTCTAAGAAGACCCAGTTCTTTATAGTTTTAACATTTGGACAAATGTAATTGCCTTCATCAAAGACTGTCAGAGTTAAAGTAACATGCTGCCTTATAATATGCATAACTTATACTTACACTGTGGTCAAATAAGTCACCTTCATGGACAAAATGGGTAATTACACAAATTAGACTTTTCATTTATTAATGGAAGTGCTCATAAAGACTGAGTGAGCTCTGATCACCGCATACATCATCCAAGAGAAAAGATCTTAAATCACTGTGGATAAAGGTGTGTGTGTGTGTGTGTGTGTGTGTGTGTGTGTGTGTGTGTGTGTGTGTGTGTGTGTGTGTGTGTGTGTGTCTAACAAAGACCTTTCAGCCCAACTTTGGTGCTTAACTGATATGAAAACACGGAGTTTTCTGTATCATCCCAGTTAGTTGGCTGCTTATCGTTCCCTTGGCTGGGAAAATCAGAGTGCTTGCTTTAATATGTTACTGTAATTATGAGTAACCCAAATCAAGATGTTTGGCTCTCTGAATGACTTTTGCTCCAAACAGTAACTGGAAACCTTAATATTTTGAAAGCCTTTAAAATTATATTTCTCAGCTGAACAGATCTTTGGCTCTCAGGCTGCAGTGTTTTTTGTATTTATATCTGAATTGTAAGCTTCCTTTTATCAGAATGTTTTACAATTTGCCCCACAGTTGCTGTAAAACAGTATTTCCTAAACAGTAACTTATGATTTATTGTTTTCTTTTGTGTTGGATCCAATTTCTTTTTGTTTGTTGACAGGTGGTTTCTAGTAATATTGTTCAGATTCTTGATAAGGGAAGAACCCTGAGACTAGTGAAGACAGCTACAGCAGATGCAGGCAGCTACCGCTGTAAAGCCATCAATATTGCTGGGAGCACAGAAAAAGATTTTCTCCTGGATGTACTGGGTGAGTAAGGACAATGAGCCGTGGCCTATCACAAGTAAAGAGATTTGTGCAGCATTAAATTAATACTAGAATAGCTTTCAAATTTTAAATAATGAAAGCAGGCAAGAAGTTTTATCATTATAATTAAGTTAAGAAAAAAAAGCTCACAATGTATTTACAGTAATCATTTTCCTTATGAGGTGTATAACAAAGAATACTTCTCTCCCTTTGCGCCACAGTCCCACCAACAATTGTAGGGCCAGGATCTGCTCGAGATGTTTTGGCTATTCTCAAACAGGAGATCAATCTGGAGTGCAAGGTGCAAGGAGTGCCCTTTCCCACAATCCAGTGGTACAAGGACAGGAAGTAAGTGCCTTTTAAAATTGATTAATGATCAAACAAACCTGAAAGACTGGGTTAAACCTTCCGGCTTCAATCATTCCTGTCCTCCCTCCGTTCTTATTCTTTTCTAGGTTGGTTTTTTTGGGCGATCCCAATCTGGAGGTCACCAACAGAGGTCAGGTTTTGAGGATAAAAAGTGCCCGTCTTGGAGACCAGGCCCATTATCAGTGTACTGTCATGAACACAGCTGGAAAAAAGTCCAAGGATTTCAACGTCAGTGTCTATGGTGAGTGTGTACTTTAACAAATCCTAAGCAATCAGGTAAGGTCTGCTCTTTATACTCTGTATGGATATGCTCACATACCTAACATGGCCATGTACAGTTGAATTACAAATTTTAGCCAAGAGATTTTATTTTTGTACTTTTGTTTTAGTGCCTCCTTCCATCAAAGGTGGTAATTTAACCACAGAGGTCACAGCTTTGCTGGACACTGCAGTAACACTGGAGTGTGAGGCACGCGGGGTGCCACTTCCCACCATCACCTGGTACCGAGACGGTGCACCCATTCTGTCCAACAGACAGGCTCAGTACATAGAGCGAGGCCACTACCTGAAGATCCTTCATGTGCATGCGTCAGATGCTGGTCAGTACGCCTGCAAGGTGACCAGTGTGGCCGGGAGCGCTGAGAAGAGCTATGAGCTGGATGTTTACTGTAAGAACCTGACATTTCTTTTGTAGTGTGCTGTTTGTCAGCTTTAAAGAAACACTTTCAAACTCTCTTAACTATGTGATTTAGAAAATCTAGACACTGACAAATTTGTAATTGTTGGAACTGAGGAATTCTTTTAACCTCAGCTCATACTGTCTCTGTGTTTTGTGACCAATCTGATTTCTGTTTTGGAGCTCTGAAGCTTCTTATTGGTTTAATCAGACCTTTGAGGCATTTGTTTCACTTGCAAAGTATAAAAACATCTGCAGCGGTCAGGAATAATTTTAAACAGCTGTGGATATTTGGCGAACAATCCACAAAATGGATACAGAGCGAAGAGCCTGAGTAATGCAATTTTGCATCTTGTTGACTGATGAAAGCCTTGAGCGTGAGACATAAAAAATATACAAGTCAAGCATACAGTGACACCAAGCTCTAACCGTCCTCTTGTTCTGTTCCTTTTTTTTGCATCATTTTCCTCCAGTGCCTCCGACCATTGCAGGGGGAGATGACGGGCCAACTGAGAGGAAAGTGGTGCTTAATAAGCCTCTGATCCTGGAGTGTGAGGCTGGGGGGCACCCTCCCCCCTCTCTCACCTGGCTGAAGGACGGGGTTCCCCTGCATGATGGTGAAAGTGTCCGCGTGCTCGAGCAAGGAAAAAAAATAGAAATCCTCTCAGCCACAGTGTCAGACTCTGGACGATATGTCTGTGTGGCTATAAGCATTGCTGGGGAGAACGAGGTCAAATATGATGTCAGAGTTTTAGGTACTGCATACAAATACACAACAGTTTGAAATGCTATAGCTGTGCACTATACTGATGCCAGTCATCGTTAACAGATAGTGACAGCTTAGAAAACGCTGTGCCGTTATCGACAGGATTCAAGCCTTTAATTCATTTAGTAAACTTCAGTCAAAACTGGTTTGTTCTGTATTTCGATCTCAGCCTCTTTCACTATGCTCATCACCAGAAGAGCAGTGCAGCTTGCTTTTAGTGCCTGTGTAACCACACTGACTGTAGATAGGGTGTAGCCTGTCACATTTAGCAGTTAACGACAGGAGAGAAAACACTGTGACCTTGTTGGCAAGATTCAAACTTCTGCACAGAGAACCCAGTAGATTTCTAGTCCCTTGCCTTAACCACTTGGCCACAACAACTCATGTGGGCCTTGTGATGATGCTGTTGCTTTCTGGACCATGCGTGCACTAAACATGGGAAACCAACACCTACCTTCTCACTGTAGCTTTGCATATTTAACTGATATAGGCACATGCAAAGCTCACAAATACTGTACCAGAAGATTCCAGCAGCAATTCCACCCAGGGGATTATATTTTTACATTCTTTTTAAAGTTTTATTGAAATTATTTCCAGCAGAAATAGAGGAGGAAGGGGAAAAAGTAATGTACAGAATAAAAAAAAAAAGCCCTAGATTTGTTCTGACATGGTTTTCTTGTCTTAAACATGAAAAATATCATTTTTAAAATTCCACTGGCATTCATTGTTGTTTTCCAGAATCCAATGTATAGAAATGTTCTTAAGAATTTCAGTGAGATTTATTTTTTCATTCCTAGTTCCTCCTTTCATTGATGGAGCTGACAGTGTGACAAACAGCACAGTGATAATCAACAGCCCTCTGGAGCTTGAATGTCATGCCACTGGCACACCCGCACCGGTCATCACGTAAGATCTACATCTCATGCATACAGATAAAAACATACATGCATGCAGACACATACTGTAAAAAATGGCTCTTTTCCAGGTGGTTTAAAGATGGAAAACCAGTCAGAAAGGGTGAAGGGTTGCGGTTTGCAGCTAGTGGTCGACAGCTGATCGTGTCCCGCGCTCAGGTCACTGACACAGCTCGTTTTCAGTGTGTGGCCACTAATGAAGCAGGGGACCACCAGAGGGACTTCAGTGTTGTTGTCCATGGTAAAACATTCAAATAGTTTGTCATACTGTTCATTAAAATGAAGTAATTGTTTTCTGGAAGCAAATGAATAATCACCTTGATCATTTTGAGTATGTTTTAATTGTAATAAATGTAATTTATGCTTTAAACGCAAGCCACAGCGAAGCTCCCTCTTTGGGTAAATACTGCTCTCTGCCTTTTTGTAATTTTCTTCCTAATTAGCTGTTGTAAAATGTTTGTGAGGAAACAGTATTATCCTTTATATCTCTAGTTCCTCCATCCATCCGTACCACTGGGTTCGCTGAACATTCAGTGGTTCTTCATGAGCCCATCACTCTGGAGTGTATCTCCAGTGGCATCCCTCCTCCAAGCATTACCTGGCTTAAGGCTGGCCGCCCTGTCGACACAACACAGGGGCGCCTTAAGGTTGGTTTACTGATCTGGGCAATATTAATTCAATTTTATTATGGTGATCCTTCTAAACCAGGCACTTCATGTGAACCCTACATGCAGACATTTGCTACTCAAATGCACAGTAAGTAAAAGCAAAAATGAATGGCCACTAAATTTCACATGAATTAAAATTACACTGTTGTTTTAGGGTGGGTCTTGCATCAAAGCACAGAAGAAAAAATAGGTCACTGTTCTATTTTCAAGCAAGCAACATTAATGTACAAAAGCTGCTAGTTTAGCTAGCAAGAACATAGAAAGTAATTTCCAGCCTGTATGCGTGTGTTGTGTTTCTGCTTGTCTGTCACAGCTGGAGTCTGAAGGCAGAACACTAAAGATCACAGAGGCAAGACTAGAGGATTCTGGACGATACACCTGCCTGGCCACCAATGCTGTTGGTGAAGCTCAACAATACATTCAGCTCAGTGTCCATGGTAATAAAGATACACACAACAGCACTTTTTTGTATGTTTTTGTCCCTTGTCACTCAGCTCCTGGATTCCGTCATACATCTTTAGTTGTCAAAGGACAGGGTGGAGACATGAGAATGTAATCTGTTAAACTGTTGTGTGTCCTTTAGAGCCTCCCAGTATCCCCCACTCTGGAGAGATCATCAACCAGACTGTCCTGTCAGGCTTTCCCACTGAGCTTGAGTGCAAGGCCACAGGCGTCCCATTGCCTGGTAAGAGAGCTCAAAAACCTCCTCCATCCTGCTGTGGTCACTTACTGGCTGCTGAGCTGCAAGTGGCCTTGCTGTTGCTTTCCTTATCTTCAATCCTTAATGAAAGAGCAGAAGATTGATCTCAGATGACTCCCTACAGGGAGCTTGCCTTTCCTCTCACTGCCTTTCTTTCCAGTTGAATGTACTTTGCTGTACAGTGTACAAATCCACAGTCACATTCCAGTATAACTGAACATTCTTTTTTTGGGATGTTGCAGCATTTTTATAGCAGGTGTTTCATTTTAACAATCTGATATCTGGGAAACCATGTTATATGTAAAATATTTCAACAACAATTTTAAGCTCTGTCACAAAAAACATAGAGGTCTTACAGTACAGTATGTACAACAGGTAAAACGAAAACATGAAAATATATGTATATGTAATTATTTCTCAATGTCTTCATGTCATTTATGTGAGTTTACAAATTTCACAACTACAGATAGTAAAACGCTAAATTCTGTTGCACTGAATGGTAAAATAGGTCACAATACATCACTCTGATCTGCTTCAGTGTATTGAACCCTGAGACCTTTAAGACTGCTTGGGAATTGTTTGTGTTATGTGTACAGTGGAAAAATCTTGCTTCTATGCATCACATTTAGGGTTGCACTTTAACTGCACCTCAACTTTATTCCTTTGTCTATTATTCTTACCTTAATTTGCATTTTATTTAAGTCTCACTATGGTTTATTTTCCTTTCTGATGTCCTAAATGTCATTTCATGCCTATTGTGCTTGGTGTAAAGCACTTTTAAGTTACCTTTGTGCTTCAGCTATCACCTGGTACAAAGATGGACAACCTCTGACTAGTGCAGCTGGGGTGACCATGCTGAAGCGTGGCCAGGTGCTGGAGATTGAACGGGCTCAACTGTCTGATGCTGGGATATACAGATGTGTAGCAGTCAACCTGGCTGGAGTAGCTGAGCTATCCCACAGCCTGCAGGTGTTTGGTGGGTGACTTCTTTTTTTACTCTAGCTGTTTTTTAGGATTCAATCATTTCTGACTTCTACTTGCATTAATGCAATTGTTCTTGAGTGTTTCCTTCTTTCTTGTGTCTCACAGTGCCTCCTGTCATCTCCAGTCGAGGTGGCACTGTAACAGTGGTGGTGAATAAGGCTGCCAGGCTGGAGTGTGAGGCCAGAGGTGTTCCTCTGCCTATCCTCACATGGCTCAAAGATGGCAGCCCTGTAGTGAGCGTTTCCCGTGGCTTACAGGTACGTCAGCTGATAAAATGTCTCTGAACCTAGTGCTATTTTATTTTTAAAAATTATACATATACATCACATGCCTTCATTTGTATGTGTTAGAGAGTGATGGCTGTTCATATATGCGAGTGCAGTGAGAGCTGCTCTCTGACCTGTTTCTGTCTCCCTCTCAGGTACAGTCTGGTGGCAGAGTGCTGTCTCTGAACAGTGCACAAGTTAGTGATACAGGCAGGTACACCTGTGTGGCTGTCAATGCTGGAGGGGAGCAACAAAGAGAGTATGACCTGAGGGTTTACGGTGAGTAGATTGTTATTTGTCCGTAGTACACCCCCAAATCAGAAAATGTGGAGACAGCTTGTAAATATTGCTGCACATTAAGAAAATGTTATGCCTTTGATGAAAAGTGTTGAAATGAGCTTGAATTTTGGTATTAAAATAGTAGTAATAAATATCTCAGTTTACAGCCTCTTGGCAGACACTGATTCCTCTCCTTAGGACAAAATCTTCCCCTTCATGTTTTAATGTCTTTTCCTTGTTTTACCTTCTTGTTTTACAAACTAATGGTCAGGACCGACTGTAGCATGTCTTTCAACAAAGCACCAGATCCAGCAGGAAACATTAAAATACTGAAAACAATATTTGAAACAGGCCTTGAGCAAAACATGTGCATGTAGAGGAAGTAGAGGCTTGACTTAGTTTAACATTTCAATAAACCTTGTCAGTTTCTTACACAGAGCTGAGCATGACAGCAAATCAGTTATGCAAGTCTAATTAAATCTAGTGCCACAGAGGAAATAGTAGACAAGTAGTTTACATGCAGGGAACTGAAAAGCCTGTGTTGGTGGGTGTCTATTCCTGTATGTATTTGAAGAAATATATGCAGCATACAAACATCTACATGATGTGCATTTCCCCAGAAAGATCAAAAAGAGCTTGTCCAGAGAAATAAAGGCAGATTTGTTATGGTAATTGCTACCATTCTTCACCAGCTGCCTGTGTCTGGCCAAATACTGAGCTGAAGGCCTGTTTCTGTCCATGTTCAATGACTTGTGCTTTGTCTGTCCACCAACCATAATACAGAGGAAATTGTCCTCATTTTCTACACAGGCCACATTTACAAAAAAAGGAGGAATCATGACCTTAGGTGACCTTACATGAACAAAACTGCCTCTTGAAGTTAATGTTGTATTTAAGGAGCCCGGTTTTTGTCCTCTAAGTTCTTGCATCACAGTTGCTTTGTTAACTTTGCTTCTTTGTGGCTCAGAGATATGTTTCATTCTCCCAACTCCCATCTCTGGTTGTGATGATACCTTTTTTTGCTCCTGGGCCATTATGTATTTGAGTGTATGCTTGTAATTTTTGTAAGTAGAATAGGTTTCATGAACGTCTTGGAAATGAAAGTACTAGGAAGCAAATATTTCGTACAGTTATGTGAAAGTTAGCGAGCTAACTGAAAAGCTAGGTCAAACCATGTAAATAGAGAATGAACATGTACATCCATTAGTGTTTGATGATATAATCTGTCAGAGAAACACAGCCTGTAGCTTGTTTTAACGTCTGCCGCAGTGCCACCTAACATCAGGGGTGACGAGATGAATGCCACAGTGATGCTCGGTCGTCCAGTGGAGCTGCACTGCCAGAGCGATGCAATCCCTCCACCTACTCTGACATGGCGTAAAGATGGCCGCCAACTCTTCAGGAAGCCTGGTCTGACTGTTTCAATGAATGGAAGTCTGCTCAAGGTATAGCTGGAGATTATAAAGCAGTACACTAAGCATTTGAAGTGAGAGTGGTAGAGCACTCACTCTGGTGAAGGTGTACCTACTCCTATACTTTTATTGTTTATTGTTTACTGTTTATTGTAATTAGACTTTGGTGTCAGTGTATTGGTACCAAATATCATAATCAGTCTACGTTTCTAATTGTTAGGTCGATAGTGCCCAAGTGCAGGATTCAGGGAGGTATACCTGTGAAGCCACCAATGTTGCTGGCAAAACAGAGAAGAATTATAACCTCAATGTTTGGGGTGAGTTTTTTTTATTTTTGGCTGAAATTTTATTTGTGTGTCATTTTGTAATCTGACAAGAATTGTGCTTTTGCTAAGAAGGTGATTCTCAAGTTAATTTTGACAAAAGGAAAATAACCTTTGTAAGTTTTATGCTCATCACTGACAAAAGATGAAGCAAGTCTTTATGAAGCCTGCACCAGTTTGTTACCATAGTTACCTGTGTTTTGAACTGGCCTGAAGCCCGTGAAAGCACACTGTACTGTAGTTCTCCTTCATGTCTGAACATTTATTTTTGCCCACTATTTTTTTGTTTAGCATAAATGTTTTGGCATAACTTTTGTTTAATTTCTACATCTTTTTAATCTCATATGTTCAAAAACAGTGATGTCAAATGCTGTAAGTGTTTTGCCATGGGAGCTCCTCCTAGACTTATTTTAAACCCAAGGGAAAATTCAACCCTATGCTCAGCTGAGATGTGAGTGCCTCCTTTTGGTGTCCTGTCATTATTACAGTTTCTCCCAGTATCCGTGGCTCAGAGGCGGTGTCTCTTCTGACAGTTATTGAAGGAGGTCTCATCATTCTGGTGTGTGAGTCCAGTGGCATACCGCCTCCAAGCCTTACCTGGAGGAAGGATGGTAAGTGTGTGTGCTTATGTGACAAAAGCAAAAAAAATATGCTACATGGATATATTGTATGACACATTGAATACTGTGTGGATAACGCGTTTGAATGCCATAACTATTTGTGGGTCTCTGTTCCAGGTTCTGAGCTCAAGATGGACCAGCGGCTTAGAGTTTTGTCAGGTGGTCGCCAGCTGCAGATTTCTAGTGCTGAGAGGACAGATGCAGCCTCCTATACCTGCACAGCATCCAGTGCAGCCGGCACCACTTCCAAAGTGTACAGCCTGCATGTTTATGGTACTTATATGCCACCAGATCTGAGACGTCTATTGATCCGGGTCATTTCAGCTGTAATTTTACCTTTTATTACTGGAAAGGAAAACAAACAAAGTGAGAATTACTGTGTCAAAGAAATGTAGTCAATTACAGTATGGCAAAATCCCTGATAACCTATTTTAAATAAACAAGAGGAAATTTCTCCTGCACAGAAAGTGATGTATTTCACGTGCAAGAAAACAACTGAAGTTTCTTTAAAGGTTAAAATGGCAAGAGAAGCAGCAGCAATCCACCAAAACTGTACATATAGATTTGAGGGGGCTGCGTGTCTGACAGGTTTTGTAAGACATTAAATCAATGGCTACCTGAATGTCAGAAAAATCAGGTGGATCATGGAAATTGCAAGTTCACATTTGTGTCATATATAAATTGGCTAAATCATCATGTAGATTGTATTCATTTAAACTATTACTGACAGCTTGACAGTGAGGGTACAGTATATCCTTATGCAGCAAGTAATTAAAAGACACACAAAGTTAAGTAACATTTGTGGCTATGCTGTGCTTAGCATCTGCTGAAGGAGCATGCACACCAACTCTCCTGCTTTTCTCACTTCAGTCCGCCCTTCCATCAGACGTAGTGAGGGTGACGATGATGATGTTACTGTGACAAAAGGAGGGGATGTGACCCTACAGTGTGCTGCGGAGGGTGTGCCACGACCAGCGGTTACATGGCTGAAAGATGGTCGGCCTATTACTGGCCAGCATGATGCCAAGGTCCTGAATGAAGGGAGGCTGTTACAGATCAAAGATGCTAAGGTGTCAGACACAGGACGCTACACCTGCATTGCTGTTAATGTGGCAGGGCAGGCTGACAGCAAGCATGACATCAATGTGCATGGTATGAATTATTAAGTTTCCTCTAAGCTTCTTTTTGGTTGAAATCATCTGTCTCCAGTTTGGACAGTTACATACCATATCATATTTGTCCCTTCCTTTATTTTCCTCCCCTCTTGTTCAGTGCCACCAAGTATAATTGGTCAGGTAGACTTGCCTGAAAACGTGAGTGTTATAGTGAAGAACCCAGTTTCCCTGAGCTGTGAGGCCTCTGGTATCCCTCTTCCTACCATCACCTGGCTGAAGGATGACCAGCCGATCAAAGCTACCAGTTCAGTGCGTGTCCTCTCAGGTAAGTTTCTAATTAACTTTGTGGGCTTTTTCTAATATTTTGGAGAAGGTATTCTTCAAAAACAAACAAACAAAATGCATTTAAATTTCTTTGTTGTCTCTCTGGCCACATATGCCATGTCAGATATCAAAATCTACAAATGCTTTCTTTGTTATCCCTTTCAAGCAGGAACAGACTCAAGTAAAGCAAACCAGCAAGGATATGCATTTTCAAATAAGCAATTTTATCAGTTTTTCTCTACTAATAATATATTGCAGCTGAGGCCAAACTCAACACACAGAACTGTGAAAGAAGTCAACCAGTAGCAATTAACTTCAATTCTGTTTTTTTTTTTAAACATATATTTAAATGTTTTGGGTGCTTCCAAATTAAGCCATGACCCCTGAACATTAGCATACTACCTTAATTGCTTTAACAAATTTTTACATTTGTTTGTTTGTTTGTTTGTTGTCTGATTTATATTTGGCATATAAGCCATGATATTGGGAATAGTTTGCAAATCAAATGCATTTTATTATTCATAAAACTCTGACCACATTTGGGAGATTCTCAAGATCCCTGATTTCACAAAACAAAAGCTGTTTTTAAAGATACACAATTAGTCTCGCATCTCATTAAACTGGCTTGTAATTGCTTTAACATCTGTGAGCCTGATAGTCTTTATTCTTTCTCTTAGTTCATCCTGGTTTTCAAAGAGGGGTGATTTACTCTCAGCAAGCTTAAAACATTGTTTACATGTCCTTGGCTTGTTTGCCTTTTGAGAAAGTCTTTGAGGGCACCCCATGATGATAATAAATAAATGATAATTAGCCTCCTTAATCTCTAGGGGGACGAAGCCTGCGTCTAATCCAAGCTGCAGTAGAGGATGCTGGGAGGTACACCTGTATTGTGTCTAACAGTGCTGGAGAGAAAAGGAAGAGCTTTCACCTTGACATCCTTGGTAAAGAAATAGTCTAGGAGTCTAGTATTGTGGTATTTAGTTATAAGGCCTTTTGCCAAGTGAAAATGTCCAGATTAAATCTACTGTGTACATATTAAAAAATTTCTGTGATTGAATTGTTTATATTTTGGTCCCTTAAGTTCATTTAACAGCAACTTGAAGATATGTGATGAACAGTGAAAGATAGTGAGAACCATTAAATTGATTTTTAGTCTAATTCGACAGTTCCACCCAGCATTGTGGGTGAGGGAACCATGCTGGATACTAAAGTCAAAGAGAAACACAACATCACTCTCACCTGTGAGGCATCAGGTCAGTGACATAATGTACACGTTATATATGTAGAGATAGTCTTGCCACTCCGTAAATCTCCATGAATGATTTTCCAGGTAACCCAGTACCAGAGATCAAATGGTTGAGGGATGGACAGCTACTGGTCCCTGACAAACGGCATCAAGTTTTGTCTCATGGCCACTTCCTCTATATCTCTGGTGCCCAAGTTGCAGACACCGGCAGGTACAGCTGCCTGGCATCTAACAGTGCAGGAGATCGCAGCCGGCATTTCAACCTCAATGTCCTGGGTACAAATACAGCTCTTTAGTTAATCCATGCTTCATTAATCAATCAGAGTATTTGCAATGAATTACAGTCACATTCTTAATTTGACTGGTTCGTGTTCCTCTCATTTTTTTTTCCAGTTTCTCCCACCATTGCCGGGTTGGGTCTTGACAGCTCTACAGAGGAGGTGACAGTAACTTTGAACAACCCCACCTCACTGGTGTGTGAAGTCCAATCCTACCCTCCAGCTCTCATCACCTGGCTCAAAGACGGCACTGTGTTTGAGTCCAGCCGCAGTGTCCGAGTGCTTCCAGGTTTGAAATCACATGTACATAACATTACAACAGAATTTAATAGACTTCAGTAGTGTAATAAGAGTACAGTATAATACAGTAGTATGATACTTGTGTAATTTACCACTCATGTTTTCAAAGGTGGGCAAACCTTGCAGATTCTAAACGCTAAAGAAGAGGATGCTGGAAGATATACCTGTGTGGCCACTAATGAGGCGGGAGAGACACTGAAGCACTATGAGGTCAAAGTTTATGGTGAGATGACTGGATTGTTTTCTATATGTGTCTACTGGGGTAACACTTTATATATTTTGGCAATTGTGTATGTGTATACTTTAATTAATGACGTTTTTTGTACTTCAGTTCCCCCACAGATCAATAAGAATGATATCACCGGGGAAGGAGTGGCCCCCAAAGAGGTCAAGATCAAAGTCAACAGCACATTGACCCTGGAGTGTGCAGCTGAAGCCTTTCCTTCCCCAGCACTGCAGTGGTACAAGGACGGACAGGTAGACATTCTAGACCCTTTCTTCAGTGTCTGCTATTAGTAGGACATTTCCTATGGGGACTAAAGCTGCAGTACTGCATACTTTAGCTGTAAACAATCCCATTAAAGCTGCTCTCTCTGATGTCTCTTTTCTTTTACTCCACAGATCTTGCAAGCAGACGGCCATGTTTCCATTACAGCTAACGGTCGTATTGTTCAGATCAAGCACGCTCAGGTGTCAGACACTGGCCGCTACACCTGTGTAGCCACTAATATAGCTGGAGAGGATGAGAAGGACTTTGATGTAAATATACAAGGTGAACTGGGTTGACTGATGTAAACGTGTTAACTGAGACTATTGTTAATAACTGCAGTTTGCAACTGTGTGTAAAAGAATACCACAGATTTAAAAAGGTTTTTTTGAACCAACATCTGTTGAGATAAAAGCAGAACTGTGTTTCCAACCACACCATGAAATCCATTTCCAAAACCTGCTCAAACAAAGGGCTTAAATGTTTTCCTTTATTGTCGCCATTTTTAGTTCCACCCAATTTCAAGCGGCCTGGTGGAGTTGGAGATGCCATGGCTTCCCCAGGCTTTGGAGGGGATGTTCGGGATGTGATACTCAATAATCCCATCTCTTTGTACTGTGAAACCAATGCTGTCCCTCCTCCAACACTCACCTGGTACAAAGATGAACAATTACTGACCTCTACTGACAAGGTTCTGATCTTACCAGGTGAGAAATAGAGCGGAAAGAGAGTAAAGGCATACAGAGAATGAGTTATTACTAACTTCTCAGTGTTTCTTTCTCAGGTGGGCAAGTGTTACAGATACCCAGGGCTCAGGCTGAGGACGCAGGCAGATACACATGTGTGGCTGTCAATGAAGCAGGAGAAGACTCCATTCAGTACGAGGTTAGGGTGCTATGTGAGTAAAAACCATTTCTTTGTGGTACAAGTATCAGTTTGTTTAGCAGAGCTGGGGAAAAAAGTCTTCAACTCATCAACCAAAATATAAGTTATATAAGAACAAATTAATTGCGTTATTGAGGATGTGTAAGAAACAATATTACTCTAAAGTATTAGAGGATAATAAAAATAACATGAAAGGTACTTGGAATATATTAAATAAATTGATTAGAAACAGT